AGGAAGATCTTCCGTCCGATGATTCACTCCCCAAGTGAGCGCAACGGGCCGATACTATGCCAATCCGAAGCCAGGAGCCTCCTCCGGGTCTCCCACGCGGGTGCAGGGTCCCAAAGCTTTGGGCCGTCCTTGACTGCCTTCCCGGGTCACAGGCAGGGAGCTGGAAGGGAAGCGGGGCTGCCGGGATTAGAACCGGCGCCCATATGGGATCCCGGGCATGCAAGGTGAGGACCTTAACCACTTGCGCCACCGCGCCGGGCCCAGTACACTTGATTTTTGACATACTTTTCTATAAGTATATCAAAAACATTTTAAATTAACAACAGATAAATCTACATTTTTGTTTTAGAATATTGGAAGATGTGACTTTCAGAAGCATTCAAGATCTTTTTTAAGATTTAATTTTTAGGATTTTCATGTTAAAGGTTTTTAAAAATCTTTTTTAGACTTTCTCCTTTCCTTCCTTCCTTCCTTCCTTCCTTCCTTCCTTCCTCTCTCTTTTTTCTTTCTCTGTTTCTCTCTTTCTTAATTCCTTCCTTCCTTTCTTTTTTCTTTTTTTCCTTCTTTCTTTAATTTGAATGACATATTTACAGAGAGGAGAGACAGAAACATATCTTTCGTCTTCTGTTTCACATCCTAGTGGCTTCAGATATTATTGATATTCTAATATTATGACTTGTGTTCCACTTAAGATCCATATTTACAATGTTTCTACTTAATAACATCTGATCTGAAGCCAGGAGCCTCCTGTTGCTCTCCCACATGGGCCTTGGACCTCTTGCACTGCTTGCTTAGACCACAAACAGGGAGATGGATTAGAAATGGAGCAGCTAGGGCTTGCACACGGGTGCTCCTGTGGGAATGCGGCACTTGCAGGCAGATGGTTAGTCTGTTGAGCCACCATGCCGGCCCCATTTTTAGAAAGTCTTTTTCCTGCTGACGCAAGTCAGAATACACCTTCCTGTTTGTGATGTTTTGCATGATTTCACTTTCTATCATCTATCCTTATGTGCTCTTTAAGAAATGACTTTCCTAACATTTACTTCATCACTTCAAGACACTCTGGGAAAGTAAACATGATTGTGAAATTGAATTTCTCAGGGATGTTTCACATATCTGTTCACTGGAATATTTCAAATAATAGTTACTCTCTTGACAGAGTAGATAATAAATTCAGTGAAATCTGCAACAATAGAAACTCACCCTTCAAATACTTACAGTGAATTCAATGTATTTTCTGACAGGACTTAAACTTGATTTAGTGTTGGCACTTCAAAAAGTGTATTTAATATTCTAAGGCTCAGTATTTTAATTAAAGTTTTTTTTTTAACTTTTTGTAGAACAGTGATAGATTCACAACAAAGCTTAAAAGAAAATTAGGTTTTTATATTCTTCCACTCCTGCATATTCCAATCTCTTCAAGAGAGTATTGTGTTTGTTGTAATTGATCCAATTTTAACAAAAATGCATCAAAATGAGATTTAAACATATCTCTCTAATATTTGGAAGATTTTTGAGATAAGACCATGTAATTTTGTTCTAAAATACATACCTATAGCAATTAATAAATATAAATATTAAAAATACTTGCAATGTGAAAAACATTGCTAGACAAACTGCATGATTAGCTAATATTTTCTATTAGATACATTTATGATACAACATATCGGTAAATCAGCTATGTATCAAAACAAAGTAAGTTCACAAAAAAGATTAGGAAGTATTTTTAGCTCTTCCATGTCTCCTTCATGGGTACAGGGGTCACCTTCTGCTACTTTCCCAGATGTATTAACAGTTAACAGGAGAGGAAAAGGAGCAGCAGGGAATTCGACGGGTACCATATGGGATGGCAATAAAGCACTGTGCCATATTGCTGGCCTTCAAAAGCTATTTATACATTTAAATGTGGATATCAAGAGTAAATAGAGACCTGAAATTAATTATTTAAAATCCTAACTTAACCAATAGGAGTCACAGGAGCGAAACAAACTCTGAGATAAAAGAGCAAAACAGTATCAACATAGAAGAAAGGGGGGATAGAGTATTCTTTCTTGCCCATTTTTTTTTCTTTTAAGAACAAAACCACATATTTTTAGTAACTACAGTAAGTTGAGATGAAGAAATATGAAGTATCCTGAAATAAAAAGAATGAACAGGATGTCTTTTTTTTTTGCAGATGTAGTGATAGATAAACTTAGGAAAACTACAAACCACATTTACAATTGATAATGAAATTTATTAGGGTTTCAAGATACAGTGTTAATAAAATAGAATCATTTTCACCTTATATGCCAGTAGCAAACAATAGGCTATTAAATTCGCAAAACCTGTATAATCAACACAAAACACAAAGAAGCAATTGAACTAAGCATATGCAAGAATTTGAAATTAACAGCAATATATAGATTTTCTAAAAAAAAAAAAGCAATTTCACACAGATAGAACATTAAGTTCATAATGAATTTTTCAATGGTTCTTCTAAAACTGGTTTTTTCCTGTGTCCTGTTTTAGTAATTGGAGGATGCATTTGGTATTTGTTAGGCAACCTAAATTTTTAAGCTTGATTTATTTATTAGGACATCCAAAACCATTTATAAAATTCTACTTTCCATCATTGTGACAGTCTTTCTGCCAGAATAATTTGGGATATTTCTGAATATTGTTGCAAGTGCTGGTTGGAAAGATTGGAGAAACTTTACTGTTGACATTTACAGCTGCCAGTTACCAACCCAATGAAATATGGAGGATCCCATTTGTCTCCCTGAACAATAAGACAACAGAATTTTCTAAATAAAACTGCTGGTTTATCAATAAACTTAAATTCAGCAAAGGGCATATTCAACAATATCATTGTATTCCTCTGCTTCACTTGGAAATATATAACTTTAACAATACTGTCAGTAATGAAAAATAAAGACTGAAGTTACAACCGGAAAAAGAATAATAGTTCGAAGCAAATACCAAAGAAAGAATATAATTTTGCCATGTTTATCATGGCAAAAGACAGCATTAAAACAATACTGCAGATGTTTTCATTTGAGATTGTTCAATCGCCTGGTATAATTTTATGATAATTTGATGTGGTAATTAGATGAAACTAAGTGCATTAAATGCAAAAACATAATTATGTGTCACTATGTAATAAATAAAAGTGTGAATATTTAAACCAAATATTGCCCATATGCAGCATTACCACACTTGGTATTCAGGAGGTTGATTAGGAGGCATTTGCATTAATGATATAATCTCAATCTTGCACAGTTTACTGGAGAACGCAAGTTGCTTGATTTCCATGCGTGTCTCTCCCTCTACATCAAGTAGTGTTCCAATACAACTTCAGAACGTTGACAAATATATTGCTTTTACAGACAATAAATACAACCTCGCAAATTAAATATGAAATATATTTATAATTTATTACACTCTGAGAGTCACAGCATATATGATAGAAGTTGTAAATTTTTGAAAAATAAAGACATTGTGTTTATATGTAAATAACTTCTTGCAAAAGAAAAGAGTGATGTCTCCACAGCAGCGTCTGTGTCCTTCCTTGCTGCGGCTCTGTCCCATCGAAGCATTTTCAGTGAAATATGTCATATGTTAGCTGAAAAACAAAAGAGTTATCATTCAAACCTGTTGGATGGAGATAGGCTAGAGTGCTGGAAGACTTTAACAGAGAAGACTGTTTAAAAAGCCAACCAAGTGTACAGCTTCTGTTAGGAATGAAATAAGCAACAATAATATTCCTACTTGAAATCTACCAGTATTTTTGAATCCAGAAAAAACAGCTGCAGCCAGGCAAATAACTAAACTGGTATTAAAGGAAAAGGCAAGGGGATTAGAGAAGAAATAAGAATCGGTCCTTGTTTTCCCGTGATACATACATCAGTCACTAATAAGAATTCAGCTGATATTATTAACAGGATAGGATGGGCTCAGTCTGATATTCTGAGAAGTGTGCATTCTGGCACTATGAGCTGAATCAGCCAGATTGAGAACATCTTAGCATGGAAATCTGGATCTGCTGTAAATCTGTGCTACTTACACTGCTCTGTTGATTATTTAAATGTAATAAAATGAGGGATAACATGTTAATCATAAAGTTAATTTTAAAATTATATGGCATTAATAACCATTACTTTGTTAATAAAGAATTGAGCGATGCAATCTAAGGATTCATGAGATACTATTGAAATCAAAAGGAAATGACCAGTGCCATTCATGAATGAATGACATGCCAGCACAGCATTGTGGCTTTGCTTCTGATTGACCCACTATTGTAAATGAAAACATCAACTTACTTACACGTAATGACAATACTCTCGGCTGGGTTGCAACCTGGAAATAACATATTGCACAGTTGGCACACTGAGGAAAAATGTTAGATAGCAACAAAAGCACTCTTTGTAGTCAACTTGCTCTATTAAAATTGCAATAGCATTTTTTTTATTTTAAATTGTGAGGCACATAAGTAAGCTTATGTACTAAAGTTTTTTTTTTTTACTTAAAAATAAGTGACTTTTAAAAAGTACATATTTTGAGGTACTAAGTGCTATGTGATATTTTATTACATATTTATGTATATACTGTACCACAAAATGTGTAGTTTTTTTAAAGACTTATTTTTATTATTTTTTTATTGGAAAGATGGATATACAGAGAGGAGAGACAGAGAGGAAGATCTTCCATCCGATGATTCACACCCCAAGTGAGCGCAACCGCCGATACTATGCCAACCCGAAGCCCAGAGCCTCTTCCAGGTCTCCCACGCAGGAGCAGGGTCCCAAAGCTTTGGGCTGTCCTCGACTGCTTTCCCAGGCCACAGGCAGGGAGCTGGAAGGGAAGCGGGGCTGTTGGGATAGAACCGGCGCCCATATGGGGTCCCAGGCGTGCAAGGCGAGGACCTTAACCACTTGCACCATCGCGCCGGCCCCAAAATGTGTAGTTTTTAAAAGTCACTTGGGCAGCGGACACCGAGCGTGGAGTGTGTCTAGGCGGCCATGGGCAAGTCAGCTTCAAAACAGTTCAATAATGAGGTCCTGAAAGCGCAGAATGAGTACTGTCAGCAGCACGGTGTCCCTCCGCTAAAGCTCTCCAAGAAGCTCAACCGAGAGGCTCAGCCATACCCCGAAGCCCTGACCAGCACAAGGATCCGCAAACACAGCCCAGAATCCAGTCGCTGTCAGTGTGGGGAGAACCTGGCATGGGCATCCTACCATCAGACAGGAAAGGAGGAGGCCGACAGGTGGTACAGTGAGATCAAGAATTACAACTTCCAGCAACCTGGCTTCACCTTGGGCACAGGGCATTTTACGGCCATGGTGTGGAAGAATACTAAGAAGATGGGTGTGGGGAAGGCATCAGCGAGCGATGGGTCCTCCTTCGTGGTGGCCAGATAATTCCCAGCCGGCAATGTTGTCAACCAGGGTTTCGTCGAGGAAAATGTCCTGCCCCACAAGAAATAAGAGCACTCCAAGTGCTGGGAAGGCAGGAGACTTGAGAACATGAAGTGCCTGGAACCATAAAAACCCAGCTGTGTCTGTCTCTGCAGGGGAGTGTGTGTGCATGGGTGATGCGTTGCCCACATCCCTGGTGCACACCTCCGGACACCCAGTCCAGCACCAGCTCATTCTTACTGCAGGAATGAGCACAAGACGCATGTACCCTGGCAGCAGGGCTAGGCCACAGTTTTCTGGGATTGAGGGTGGGAGGTGAGGTCAACTTGTAGACCTCTCTTGGTGCTCTTGTAAACAAGCTTCTTTCCTCTCCTGTCCATCCTTGGAAGTTTTATGTTCCAACTATTTGTGATACCGAGAAAGGAAATTCATGTCATGTGAAAAAAAAATAAATAAAAGTCACTTGATGTTTTAATAACTTTTTAAATAATTCTAATATTTAAAAAATTAATAACTGTTAATGATAAAATATCAAACTCAAATTTTCTACTTTTTTTATTGAGAAATAGAGAATAAAACAGTATCTTTAGCCTAATGTGCAGTAGAATTTCTTACACTTTGTTTCTTGAACTTAATAATTTCTTCTTTTCTGCTTCATTTTTAATTTTATGGTACAATTTCATAGGGTCTGAGATTTCTTCTACTGTCTCCCCAAATTCCCTTCCCCAAATGATTTTCCCAATATTATTACAATGATATACCCCTTCATAAGCAGTTGTAAGTCCATTATTCTGCTATTTAATTGTATCCTGACATTTCTGGTACAGACGATGGCAGACATTCCAGCATCCAATTTTAAGATATATCGAACAGTTTCATTGGGAACCCATCTTTGATTTGTAACTAGAGATGCATATACTGCATTGGAACTTCACATATAGCTATGGCAGTCTCAATTATGCTGTTAAACATAATAACTTCTAACCAACCTTTCCCAATTCTACAATCTCCATTTACTTCACAGCATTTGGTAACTGTTGTAGTTACAACTAGCTTTTCAACATTTGGAGATCATCTGCATTATTTACATTTCCAACATGAGTGGATAATCTGATATTTTTCTTTGCTTTCAGCTTATTTTTTATTCCATTCTGAATACATACCAGAAATACTGCCACTTCCTCATCAATTCCTGAGCACATAGGTTGTGTCCTGACCATTGCTTACGGAGTCTTAGACATGGGAGAACAGATGTCTTTTGGACAAATGAATTGTATCTTTCTTGGAAATGTGCCAGGAAGCAGAACTGCTATATCACATTATAGTTCTAATTTCATGCTGTTGAGGAACCCCATGCTATTTTCCACAATGGCTGTACTAATTCCTTTCCTTTCAGAAACATACAAGATTTGTCCATATCTTCGTGGAAACTTATTGCCTAAAGCCAAGAACCTGGAGCTCATCTGTGGCCTCCAAGCACATAAGAAGCTGGATCAAACACAAAAGATGCAAGACTCAAACTTTTTTTTTTTTTAGATTTATTTATTTTTTATTGGAAGAAATGACAGAGAGGAGGAATGACAGAGAGGAAGATCTTCTGTCCGATGATTCACTCCCCAAGTGAGCGCAACGGCTGATGCTATGCCGATCCAAAGCCAGGATTCAGGAACTTCTTCCGGGTCTCCCACACAGGTGCAGGGTCCCAAATCATTGGGCCATTCTCAACTGCTTTCCCAGGCTACAAGCAGGGAGCTGGAAGGGAAGTGGAGCTGCCTGGATTAGAACCGGTGCCCATATGGGATCCCAGGGCATACAAGGCGAGGACTTTAGCTGCTAGGCCACGCCATTGGGCTCAAGACTCAAACTTAAACCCTAAGGTGAGATGTATGTATTCTAAGCCACAACTTAACCCTCTGAATCCCATCTGTCCCTGATTCATGTTTTCTTATTTCAGTTGGATATCCATTTCAGTACTTAATTATTTGCATCTTTACAATGTTGTGGTTTGTTCAATTACCTTTACAGTATTTCAAACCTTTTTAAAATGTGTGGTTTGTTATTACGGGACACAGTGTTTTTGTTCCAGTATGCCATGTAGACATATTCAATGTCATATTGAAGAATACTTCCTGCCCTCAGTTTTGCCTGCAATGTTTCAGGGCAATGTTTATCTCTGAATTATGAAAGCGAGTAATGTTTTAGATCAGCTCTACAATCATACATGTGATGCACATGTTTGTCTGCTTACCATTGTGCTTACACCAGGTGTTGTTAACATGACATGCATTGATTTCTAACTGTTCTGGAGGTTTGAAATCTAGGGTCAGTGTGGAGTATCTGTCTGTAAAATACTTCTGTAAAAGCTGAAATTTGGTAAAATTAGTATAATAACCATATTATACTAATTAAAATTTTGATGGATTTATATCTTTTACTTTGAGTACTGATTTTTCTCTACAGTATTTTTTAAAAAGATTTATTTACTTTTATTGCAAAGTCAGATATACAGAGAGGAGGAGAGACAGAGAGAAAGGTCCTCCATCTAATGATTCATTCTCTAAATGACCACAACAGCCGAAGCTGAGCTGATCCAAAGCCAGGATCCAGGAGTTTCTTCCACATCTTCCATGCGGGCACAGGGTCCCAAAGTTTTGGGCTGTCTTGGAATGCTTTCCCAGGCCACAAGCAGGGAGCTGGATGGGAAGCAAGGCCACTGGGATTAGACCCGGAGCCCATATGGGATCCTGATGTGTTCAAGGCAAGGACTTTAGCCACTAGACTGCCGCACCAGGCCCTTCTTTTGCAGTATTAATCTATAAATGTTATTTATAATAGTTTAGCTGTACCAAGGAAACTTGATGTGAGAAGTTATACTACTGATCTTTTGTGTAAGGTGTAAATGAAAAGGATATTGATTGCTTGTACTTTGAACAGATTAACATAATGAATATAAAACCTAGTATTAAAAAAAAAAAACCTAACAGTTCATGCATTCTCATTAGATTTCCTTTTATAGAAGGCTCAAAATATATTTGCTTGATTCTATAAGGTAATCAAAACGAAGTAGTTGTTTCATCTTAACCTCTGGAGTCATACTCACTCCGGAGTGGGAGGAAGATATTCAAACAGCTGACCTGCAATTTCTGTGGTTTGCTGGGATGTTTGCTCCACTGACTTGGAGATCACTGTCAAAAAAAGAAATAGTAAATGACCCAGTCTAGTTATCTTGACAGCTTAACCCCTGGACAAATTAGCTAAATGGTTCTGAGGAAAAAAAAAAAAAAGATTGTATCCAACAAATGCACTAGATAGGACCACACCAGAATGAGAAATATTCATAGCAAATGGAATCTGACTCCCCAAGGCAGCTTTGTAGAGAAAGCTGTCTAAGTTGAAAAATATAGTCATACAGCAGAATTTGAAAATTCAATATCCACAAAATATTTATCTTTTTTAAAAAAAAGATTTAATTATATTAACGTGAAAGGCAGATCCATAGAGAGAAGGAGACAGAAAGAGAGAAAAAAAAAAAAAAAACATTCCATCTTGGTTCACTAGCTATTGGCCACAAGGGCCAGTGCTGAGCATAGCTGGAGCCGGGACAGGAGCCCACAGGGGACGCTAGCACTGCACAGCAGAGGATTAACCTGTTGAACCATGTTACAGGCCTCTCCAAAAGACGCGGCTCTGACATTAACAGTTTTCAAGACCACCATGACATTTTTAATTGGAAAGCAATATTTACAGAAAGCAGAGAAAGAAAGAAAGATCTTCCATCTGCTCTGGTTCACTCCCTAAGTGGCTACAACAGCTGGAGCTAAACTGCTCTGAAGCAAGGAGCCAGCAGCTTCTTCAGGGTCCCCTATAGGGTTGCAGGGTCCCAAGGCTTTGGGCTGTCATGTCATGCTCTCCCAGGCCACAAGCATGGAGCTGTATGGGAAGCAGAGCTGCAATGACATGGACCAGTGTCCATATGAAATCCTGGCACTTAAAGAGGAGATGCATAAAGTGTTATCCCATGCAGCCATTGCACTGCTCCCAACTTGGAATTTCTAGAACTTGATAGGATTGTTTATATGAAAACCTCCTTGCATGTATTGTTGCCTCTTTCTGGAATGTTGTTCTAATGATTTTTTCTTTGTGGCTTGCTCATTTGCCTTTTTCAGCACTTCCCTCATTTTCTCTTTTTTCCCTGAGCTTCCTTGTGTATTACTCCCAAGTTCTACATTCCATCACTATGTAATATATGCCATAGGGCACTCATTGGCCTGCATAAAATTTGAGAAGAAACAGAATTAGTATAATGCCCGACTATTTGGCAGGAATACAATATCTTCACAATACCTTAGCAACAATCCATATGTCAACACATGCTCTTTTGTGAGTCCAAAGAGAGTGTAGGATTCAGCATTTGCAGGGTTTGTGTATGTCAATGAAAGGGTTATTATTATTTTTTTTTTTTGTAATGTTCACTATTTCAATGGAAGGCAAATTTTAGGTAACAAGATTTTAGGTAACATATAACTTGAATTGTAGCTAAAATGTTTAAGGCATATTATTTGTTACCTTTTCATTTTCTGTCTTGCTGAAGGTTCCTCAAACACTCAGGGGAGGAGCTTAAGTTTCAGACAATTGCATCATATACCTGAATGTCTGAAATCAAGTCCTGGTCCCTCTTCCAAGTACAGTTTTTGATAATTTGCTGTGTACTCTATGATGGATAAAGAAATTCTGTCCCTGCTACCCAGATGAGGGGCTGGAAAACTAAGAGACAGTCTTATTCTTAGTGAGCTATATTAGGGAAACATTTGTATGTATGCCTGGAGATCAATAGAAGAAAACAAGGAAACAATCCAAATTTGTAAGAAATTTTGAATATGCTCAAGAAGTTCATTCAGTGTCTTCTTATAAGAGGATTATTAATGAAACAGTTCCTAAATTTATTGATCACTTCATTAAATATTCAGATAAGGTTAAAATTCATACTATGAAATTATCAAATTCTCTCTGAAAGCATACTCTATTT